GATTGAAAAATGCTCTTTTTGCACAGATTTTACAAACTGGGAAGGCACTTTTTTACTAGGCGTTCTTCGGTAGGTGCTTAGCCATCCCATTTTAGTGCTTCGTCTTGATTCCTCTGTGGTGCAATTTTTATTGGGGTTATCGGTAGGACCTCTCAAAGAAGGTCTACCCTAAATCTCATTGGGGGTTTAAGTCGTGTTGGGAGTGAGACTAGTCAAATTCTCATTGGTCTCGACGAGGCCCCTGTGATTGGATCATGACGCCGCGCAAATGCGCACCACGCCACACGCAAGCGACCACACAAGCCCTCCCGTGTTTATCCATTCCCTTGGCGTGCCTCTGTCCGGTGCGTTCGCCTTCTTGATGAAGCTACTCTGAAGTCCACTGACCTTGCAAAAACGCGCCAGAGAAATGAGCCCTGAAGTGTTTCGACTCCTTGTCATACTTCTTTTATTACTTATCCCGATTTCCAATGGTAAGTATGATTTTAGTCGGCTCTCAACAAGGTTAAAACTACGGTTATCTCCATTTATTCATTTACCTCGGCAACTAGAAATGCGGTTCTATATTTAGCATCAACTCTATCGCATCTTTTTTTAAAACATCTGCAATTAGTATTTTAAAAAGGAAGTCCAGCGGTTGTTTATAAAAAAAATTTTATTGGTGGAACTCAATGTCTGCCTGTTGCTCAAATTTGATGGACACTGTTTTGTAGCAAGAGTATTACCTCTATATGGGTGGTAGAATGTAAGCTCATAACAGAAGAAGATTCTCTCTGGAAGTCGTCATCTCTATATAAATTTGTCCTTTCCGTCCATACTACTTTAAATCAGCTTCATTAAAGAGGCAACTGCAAACGGTAAGATGAATATAAACACTTTTGATAAATAATGTTTGGGTCCCCAAGTAATTAAAGTGCAATGCCAGAGTTGATTTTAAGTATTTGTCTTTATTGTGCTTGGATGCACTGGCATAAGGCGGTTAAAAACTACAATACGTACTTTTTCGAACGTCGTCTTGTGTCCACTGGAATTGAAGCAAAAAATGGCACAGAATGGCAAGGTAGATAGAATCATTCAAATAATCAGGTTCTTTTCGTGATGTTTGCGAACATATTTCAAGCTTTGAGGAATTAAATGCACTTTATGGTTGGCTTTTTATAACTCAAAACTTTGTTAAAACGGTCGATTAAGGAGTGCTCATCAAAAATGCCTTCGATTGATGATAAATGGATTTTATTTTTAGAAGGACACGGTAATCCCGAAAACGTAGCATTGATGCATTTAGTTTAAATCGGAGGCAGGATTCAGTGTGTAGGCAATATGAAATAAGGCATTTACGTCTTTTTTTAACTTTTTAGTGCCTTTTAATTGCCGTGTCTTGTTTAAAGTCATTTTTATTCGCGTGTTTTCTAATAGGTGTTTTCGTTTACTGCGATAAATTAGCCCTCTACATTGTGCTAAATCTTGTTAATTGACTAGGAATACAATATGCCTCCTGTTTAATTTTTCCAATTTTCTCTCACGATCCACTTCCATCGGTTTTTTGTCTTTTCCACTCATGTTTTTGCACAAATTTTGGCTCATACTGTTCATCACTGAGGAGATAGTGAGTGTATATCTGCAGCTTCGCGAAGGTGTTCATGACAAGGGCAGCCATACTCGGACTTGTGTCTTGCCACTCCCTATTTGGTATCTTCGATCGGTTGGCGCTAAGGTGAATACTAACATCAATAGTTGTAACGCGAAAATTGTGTTTTTAATCGCCATATAGTGCCTTTCTCCAGGCCGCAAAAGGTTCCACGGTTTCTGAGTCACATTCGAAGACCCAGTGCTGTCTATTTTTCGCGACTGCTGTCCACGATACACAGAATGACGTTAGTTCGTCTCGAGGACTTGAAAGCTCCGTAACTTAGCTTGAGCTTTGATCGGTGCTATTCAGGTCAAAATTGTCGAAGAAAATGAGGTTAGACCCAGTAAATCATTATCTGGTACATGCTGCCAAGACAGTCTTGACTAACTATATGTGGTGCTTCTCGATAAGTGACAGTCGCTTTGTACCGCTTTGCAATTGTACAGTTCGCCTCACTTCTCAACCTTATGCTTCTTAAGTGAATTTTCCGCAGTGGAACGTACAGTGTGGCTTCTGCCTACACACACAACAGGTGTTAATATTTTTTACCGCGCTTTTTTTTATACCCAGCATAATATTCGTGCAGATGTACTGCACAGTCTTTACGTTTGACTTGCCCACCTACAAATATGCATTGGCCAACATTAGTGCACGTGTGAAGCAGTCTCAGCCCAGTGCCACACGGGTGTTCTTTGGCTAAAGCAAGTTTCCTTAATTATAGCCCATTGTATTTCTAAAACTTGTTGTCTAACCACCACTCAGCACTCACGATTTTGGTGAATGCGCCTCACCATCGCAGCTGTTCCCGACCAATCCACTAGATAAGCACGGGGAGCTCGTAGCTTGTAGGGTGCCCCGACCGAGAATTGCAGTGATTTTACCTTGTTTCAGTGTGGTGTTCATTAAACACTTTACATACAGAGGCATCGCTTATCCGTTTCCCAGGTCAGAGACAAAACAACTAGTTCCACTGAAATATGCATAAGCAGCAGCATTGTTTGGGTGCATGCATAACCACGGCCACAATGGTACGTAACTTAGATGCTCATTCCTTAAATTTCATCCGACTCATGTATTGGTCGTGGTAAAATTTTATTTTCAAATTATGGAATAGATTTGCAGCCCATTTCGGGAAGCATTAAGTTTAACTAAGCGAGATTTAGAGCCTCAGGTCAGAGGCGATAATTGGCTGATGGATGGGGATACTGTGATATAGGTGGGTGGCAGAAGGTCACCCCTGACCTGAGAGGATTTTCCAAAATCCCACTCCCATACTTCGGTTAATTAGTTCATAATTTATTAACACATAAAGTGAATCTCACATTAAAAATCGGATTACTTAAGAACTGTCACTCAGGTGCCACGTTGCGTCCTTGGCATTCTTGAATTCTGGGAGTCACTTTCTCCCGACAAATTCGGTTGACTCGAAATTTGCAGAGGCCTACATTTTAAGCACGTTAGTGTTTTCCTACATTGGTGAGCCGAACTCACTCTTAAAGTTTGTCCGGTTGTTCATGCTCGCCGACTTTTCAATGGCGAAGGCTTGCTAATTGTGAACGATTTTAACGAGTCAGCGTTTTGTACGCCTTTGTGTTGTCAGTCGTGAGAGATTTCGTTGATCACTTCAGAAATGACCAAAAGAACTTAACGATGCCCGGTTTGATCGGGAATCGAAAAATTGATGACGAGTTTGAGTAACGCAAACTGTATTTACCTGGGAAATCGGAGACAGTTACTTGATACTAATAAAAATTATAACGGTAATAAATTTCTTCAAATATATTGCCCCCTTAGAGCAAAGTCTTTCGTGTACCGCAAGTGCAATTACTGATCAACATTTACGTGTTTTAAGGGATTAAATGATATCTTTGAGCCATTCCCATGTCCCCATATTATTAAAATCAGCAAGAGGGGCTGTTATTTTGTGCGGAAGATTGCTCTCCGGCATGATACACACAACTGCACAGAGTCCGCTAACACGAACTACGCGTGCGTGAGTGCTTGTGTGTGTACGTTATGAAGACAACGCTACAGTCAACCCAGATTCCTCCCTCTTCGTTGTAATAAATGTGGCGGAGGTTCGCTGAACATTGAAAGGGGTCGACACGGCTGCTGATGATGCAATGAAGACGTGGTGACCTGCTTACCAGTCGGCCTTCATCCCTGTTTCGTCTTTGCTTCCGTTGCTACGGTAACACTTGGGTGCCGTGTGTGTGTCTGCACTGATCGAGAGGCTACGATAGTTGCCTCCGCCTCTAGCCCTCCCAGCCACTCCTAGACAAACATGCTCCCTTCGACTTCCAGGATGTTAGAGAATGTGATTAGGATTCTGCCTTCATTCTATCAGACCGTTTTACTTCCCCAAAATTGGTCGAGTTGGCGGTTAGTCAGGGTATACTTATGGCACACTATGATTCAATTAAAACTAAACAGGCATATACTGCTTATTCGATCTATGCGCTAAGAAGGAAACACTTTCAGTAATTTTCGCGTTTTCCAATCTAATTGTATGTATTTATTATATTCAACGCACATCAAAGGAACACAACATGTAACTCTGATCTCCGGAATCTTATGGAATAATGCTAAGAATAATTAGAAGCTTCCTCTTTAATGCCTTTACAGTATGAAAACCATTTACGCATTATTTATTGTAACTGCCTTTCGTTATTTCCATGCTTAAGAACAGTTTTCAGTTAACTCGATTTCATTCACCCTTACTTTGTGGCTGCCAAAACACCAACAGAGCTGACGTCGCCTGTGAAACCTGAAGGGTAGCACTTGGTGACTTTTGTGCTTGTGACAACAGTAAACAGCCTGAAGGCAATCCTGGTCTGACTGGTAGCAATTCATCTTACCTTTTGGTGCTGTCAGGTAAACTTGGGTGTAGTAGAGGAATACTACTAAAGCTATGCTTTCGAAACCTGGAACAGAAATGTGTGCTCATAGATTAGTTTAGGTTTATAATATGGATGTATGCCCAAGACTAGGATGTCTGCTTGCCCAGAGCTTACCATCGTAAGTGAATTGACAGGAAAGGTTTGCATCGCACTGACACTAACCAGTCTGTTAATATTGGCTGGTGATGTGTCAAAATTTGTTGGTTTACACTCTCGATTGCTCACTACAAGTTCAAATAACTAATGACGATGTGGGCTTCGTTCGTTTATGTTTGTGAATAAGCACATACATGAATACACCAGACTGAGTAAGATACTTTCACGTGTAATTTCAAATTATCCAGTTTAAATTATATCCTAAATATGAGACGATGAAAACCTTGCTTTGGATATTAACTCCAATCCAAGTTGCCCATAAAGGCGACTTAACAGTTAAATAGCTTTGTTTTTTTTTAAATTCAGGATTTATCATGTGCCACTGTGATTCTGTGGAATGTCAAGCAGCAGGAAAAGTGGAGTGCAAAGCGGAGTTCTACTGTTACGTTTCATTCCGTCCAGCAGAACCCGGAGAGCGCAAACCCTCAGCCACGTCCAAGGCGGTGTATGGTTTTGGAAGCCGGCTGTTCATTGCCGAGCATCGCGGCTGCGTCGCCAAGACTCAAATTAACGTGTGTGACGAGCATGGCGAGAGTAGAGGGGTCGGCAGCTCCAGTGGCGAAGAGGTCGACGGGAGTGCCCGGCAAGTGATCCGGTGTTGCAGGAACAATTGGTGCAACATGGGCCAAGTATGCACTGTCCTCTTCTTCTATCCTTGCCGTTTTCATAACAAATGAAATGTATTGTGCTCCCCTCAACACATTTTGATTTTTTTAGAATCTTCCGGCACTTTAAGACCTGAAAACTATATTTAGAGGATCGATGAACGTCATATGGCAAATTACTTAACTCGGGTATATTCATGTCTCTCGTATGGTAAAGACAAATGTGCTGATAAGGCCTTGCGTCGTTTTTACTTCCCCTCAGCCTAACTCGGTCTCGATGAATCTCGCATATATAACAATTTGATCATATTTCGCACTCGACTTCTTAGTTGACTACTCAGGTATTGCGACGTGCATATTAGCATTGTGTAAAATAGTCTAAATCTAAAATTCGCATGCAGTCATAACGCTTATACCAAAGTAGTTACTTTTTCTACAAATAGTGACATGAAGGGATTCCACAAGGGATTAAAAGGCACCTACTGACGGAAAAAATGGGACCATGTAAGTAAAATTGTGCCACTTATTTTTTTCATACAGGAGCTTGAGTTCACCAAGGCAGAGCTAGACGGCCGCCAATTTTTCTTAAACCCCGGGCTTTCAGACCTTGAGCCGGGGTTGAGTTTTCCTATGTTCAGCGCAAAATCTTCAGTGTCTGCATTCCGTCCACTTGTATTCACGGATGAGCAAGGCACAATAGGCATCTCACAAACGAAGAAAGAAAACCCGGTTTCAGCATCCACCCAAGACCATCCAGTGCCAAAGTGGAAATCGCCCCTCTATACAAGCGACCTTCATTTCAACGGGTGGTTCGGCCACCGCCCAGCTCTACTCTCACCGTCCCACGCGGCACCAGGCTTTACGAGTGAAGGTGAGTGACTCTACTGTTCCTGTGCCTCATCAAGCAAACAATTCATGTCACTGACATGAAGTCCAGTGCCCTAGTTTATGAAGTGAGTCTGACTTTTCAAGTTGAAGGTGTAGTAGCAAGAAATGCTTTGAATTACGTCACTGATAGGCTTAATTGATGCAGTACGTTTTAGTATCCCATCAAATTTTAAACAAGTAAATGGAGGAACTGAGCTAAAGACCGCCAATATAACATGAAGAGTCTGATCTTTACATCACGGATGACCATTTATTTTTAGCCTAAAATGATAGTCAGAATTTACTGACCTTACTCAATTGATCTCCGTCTGTAGAGGGCGGATAACAGAACGACTGCGTACCCTAGGTTCCTCTAGCAAAGCCCCAGAGAATTTCATATATATATAAATCTGAAATATTATATTGCCCAAACTTTAAACATGATCCTAGTGTGGCCACCGGCTATATTCTGGTTGGTTCATTACATGTACAACTAAGCTAAATCGTGTCTAAATTGTGGAAGGATAACAGGAAGCGACTCCTCGTTTTCATATCACAAAACGCAAGGAATTATAATTGTTAGCGCAACGCCCTGTCCAAAAATAGGTAATGCATAGGGAAAGGACTTCAATTTTGATCAAGGCGATCCCTAATGGGTGCTTGTCGTTACAGTGCACCCTCGGTGTTCCACTCAGAAGCAAAAAACCAGAGAAATGCCCTGACACTCCGAAGTGAGTCATTATTTGTGTCTCACACGTCTCTCCCTCTCCTCACACCAAAAAACCAGACCCCAAGGGACTCAGCTTTAATTATGCACTCAGGCGGAGTGTCTGAATGTCGAGAGGAGGCTTACAATTTTAAATTTTGTCATGACGTTCCACACGAGGAGCGAATCAGAGATATAATGCAGATGATGCACCTATGACCCGTTGTTGGTACAAAACTGGCACCACGACACTCCCACCCATAGGAAGCTGTCAGAATACCCGTCACTTTCTTCAAGTCGCATTAGTCATTTTAATTAGAACACGTAGAGTTAAATTAATTTAAATAAACAGTCTGACGTACTTGCTTTTTGGTGATTACACGAAAAACTACCACAAACTTCTCAATTGTGAATCAATGTGATAACACGGTGACCTGGTGGAAACATTATGGCTTGATGATTAACATACAAGTCGGAAGCAAATTAGGGCTTGCAGTGGAATCATTAACCCCGTGACTCTAGCAGCCTCTAACTACTTACATATGTGCAAGTTGAATCCACCAGCAAACGAAATCGACAACTAGATTCTTCTCATAATATTTGCATAGCACTGACCACTTAGTTTGTACCTCTGCGAATGGTAAAAATAATTTTTTCAGTCCATAACTGTCGGATACATTCATTGCACATAGAGAAACTCAGCCGTTTAGGAATTGGAAAGCGCGTCCGCTTTCAAGTCGACCCTTTTGTAGACTTTTGCAGACTCAGCTAAAAGTGAAAACCTCTCACTGACTACGGTGTCCGACTTCGCAAAAATCAGAACAACCGACCAAAACAACTCTGGGGGGATCCAGTGTGGTCTACTCGTTGGCCTACCAGCCAATACTGGCCCACGATGAGTTACTAACTTCTACCATGATTCATCGAACATCTTTTTGGGTAGTCTGTTACTTGAATGCCGCCAGTGTTTTTGTGACACGGGAAACTGAGGTCTATCACCACATCTAGTGTTTCCCTTAAACGCCAGCGTATTGCGTGTAGGTATTTTCACTGTAAATACTCAGAATCGGGAAGTTCTCTCTGATGCAGTAATCTCTGACACGTATGTAGTACTTAACTGAGTCGCTTCAGATTTCCGTGAGTTCTCCTGTATTATGTACATGCCTATTGCATTTCCGTCGCAGTCGTGTCCTATTGTTCAAACTAAAATGAACAAACATAGCTTTGGGTATAGAACCAAAGCAGTATTCTTACTACATATTCAGTTTATTCTAAAGCAGCATGGTCATTCAGAAATTATGGTAATTTATGAGTACTTCGTGTAGATGAACGGAATAAGATTAAAATTGGCATTCCAAGGCTCCAAAGTTCTATTTCTACGTGTTAAAAACCACAAACACGATTCCGATAAATCAGTGCCTATTAAACAATGAAGGTACATAAGAATTACGCACACTCAGTTTTCGTCAAGCAAGAAGCGGCCAAGCTTGCTCACTCTAAGTCCACAAGTCGGTATTCAGTAAGTGTGACCACCTCTATGTGTGGACAGGAATTCTGACATTGTGTTGTTACGGGTGTGTAGGCGTGTGCAGCACGATCGGGGGAGGGAAAGCATCAGCAATTAGGCTTTGGCGAGAGAATTGGCGGGGTGGCAATCGATCCGACTACGACGGTCTTGGGGTCATTTCTGCACGATGCTAATTTTACTCATCACGCGCGCCACCTGCCCATTTTTCAATTAGTCGATTTTGCAGCAAAACTACTCCAGCATTCAACTGAAGAGTGGTATGAGGAAATGTGGAACAAAACCTTACTACACTAAACCGTATTAGGAGCCACGGCCAACGTATTCTAGAGTCAACCACAACTATAGCCCAGCTGAATATGGATTTTGGGGCGTGTTGGTTGGTTTATATACACTAGAAGATTTAGACAAAACCCACTGGGAATAAGGTGTAAGATCCAAGAGTTCTAGAATGCTGGAAATTTTAGAGGTAACGCAAAAGCGGGTTGGCTACAAGCATTTGACCACTGTGGGAAGTGGATTATGTCCAAAGTGACTAATTTCACTCTAATTATTGGTTGTTTTTTCCTTGGTGGATGCAGCATTTAGGCGTCAATTCGTTTAATTCGCCGTTGCACAAGGGCCTTTTTAAATCAAGCACTTATTACAAACCACTTAGAACTTGACGTTAATTTTGGATTACTTGGTAAAATTTTTTTAGTTGACGTTAGTCTGTCTTTGTATGTTGCTTCGAAGTGAGACCTGATGTTACTTAATGAGTCCATGTGAGTAGGTGTCTATGTGGACTGTTTGAGACGTATCCGGTTTCTCGATGACTGTATATTTAACCTGCCTTTTTGTACAGCGACAGCCACGAAACCGATAGTTCACAATTCGGTCTCAAAGAAAGACAAGAGCCACTTGGCGTCGTCGGCCCAGCAACAAGAGGAGGCGAACAGGGGTGGACAGCAACAACAACAACAACCACCAATTGCTCTCCAGCCTCTACACATTGCCGTTGGTGTCTGTCTCATTATTCTTATGCTCGTGGCCGTGCTCCTTCATATAGTGATTGTTCTCTATCGACGACACCGACGCCTTAAACGGGAACTTTTGAAACAAACACAGATACCCGGAACTGATCAATCCCATTGGCCACTTAATACCGTGAACACGTCAACCCAGTCAGGTCAACGAATCGACTTGCAACATTTGAAGTACGCAACGGTTAAAGCAGAACAACGTCAGTCAGCAGTTGAGAAAATTAATAAAGGGTGAGAATAGAAATAAGCGTAACTGTTTACTCTTGATATTGTAAAAAATGCGAAAAAACCCACTTGACATGATATCGAGGCACTTCAGTTGGTAAGAACAGGATTTGGTTATTCTTTTTGCGTATCTTGCACTACGAAAAGTTATCTAACCCTAACAATGTGGAAATCTAAGTATACCCATGTGTTTGCAACCTAATTTCACACCAGTAATTTCAACAAATTTCTTTTTCAAATTCAGCCTGTCCTATACAAATATTGTCTATTGTGTTAACCCGATGAATGTTGAAGTGTTTGTACACAATATAAACGCGAACCAAGAGGGAGGACAATGCCAATTATCATTTTTGTTTATCGGACATTGCTCATAAACGTTTGTTTCATCCACGAGCACTAACTGCGCTAATGTTTTTCAAACTGTGCCGTTGACCCCTGTAAATTGCTGCCTTTGAAAAAGAAATTTATGACGACGACCTGCAGTTGTTTGCTAATACTTCCATTCTTCAGGTTAAAAGCAATTGTAGAAGCGTCCTTTAAATTCCACTTATCACATTTATAGGTCGTTTTTACTCTCGTGCTTGTGCAAAAGACTTCCGACTGAGGCATCACCAGCAAACGTCTACGAAGAAGTACTGCCCCATCAAGTGCAGCTCCAGCAATGCCTGTCGTCCGAGCCCTATGTCATATCCCAGACCCCTGTCCTATATCACAGTGTCCTGACATCAACCGGTTCCTTCCAGAATTCCCTGCCCAGCCCACCACTCCAGCTCAATTCTGCTGCCCTCAATCACCAAAATGCACCGTCACAACTCGTCTATTCTCCTCATTCCCTTGAACACACATTTCATCCAGGTCCTACGAAAAACATGTACTGCACAAGTTCAAGTGTTAGCAACGAAAGCGGAAACAACCCATCAACCACTGAAAGTTCCCTCCCAACGCAGTCCTCTACTGTCGCCTGTTGGAATACCAATAATAATAGTAATCACAGTGCACTCCAGCAGAATGACTTTTCAAATTATCTCCGTACGAACCAGGAGCGTCCAAGTCTCTCGGGAAGTAGTGAGGCTGGTATTTTGACTACCCCCGACTTTGAATCTCGTCGAGCCAATGTGGCTCTCCCCCCGGCTCTTCTTAAAGACGCCGTTGGACCTTCCCTTCCCCCCCAGACTACAACTGGCCTAGCAATGTTTAGATCTGCGGCTCCCCAAAATGACGCGTGTTCCATGGTCACGCCTTACGCACAGTTTCAACTATCTCTTTCCTTTGACCAGTATGACACTCCGGAGCAAATTTTCGCTAATGGTAATGCATCAGCCGCTGGCTCGACTAGTTTAGATGGGCTTGGTGGTCATAATCAGACTAGTTCGAACCCCACAACAAACTCATCATTGCTCCACTCCTACTGCGAACACGGAGGACCCGGTGACTTTCGAATCTGAGTGCTGACTCCTGTTTTGTAGAAGTTTAACCTCTCCTTTTTGTACTGACGTTTTTAGTTCAAGTGATACCTTGTGTACATATTCAAAAACGAAAATTTTTGCATATTATTTAACTTGGAAATTGACGAGGATTCAGATTCTAAAATTGAAATACAGTGTCTAACGAAAATTGTTCACAAACGGCTGAAATAACTCACGATGAAGCAAACACTGGTTGATATGATTGGAGTAATGGTCTCTGTCACTCTTCTGCATTAGGTCAGATTTGTAAAAGATACAAACTGAGTTTCTGTTAGCAATCTGAAGGCTATCATGCAAAGGTCTCCGATATTTTCTACAGTCTAGTTTTCATAAAGTGGCTACAACCCCTATAGCTTGTTCAGGCCATTTGGAAGCGTTAAACATTGAATGTCCTAGAAGGTAATGAAGGACTCTATTATACAAATGCATTTGCTAAGGTAGCCAGTATTTTGCTTGGGTCGTCCTCCGTTAGAAGTAGTAGTATCGAAAAACCCGTCAAATGGTCCACTCGCGGAGGTACAAGCATTAAAAAGCACCCGGTGTTACACTTGATGTCCAAGGGCGATTTACATGTTCGCAGAAGAGGAATTTTAAGGTAAACACTCTACGTGAAGTATCTAAAAAAGAAGTGCAAAAATCTTGTTTGGATGATACTAAAGAAAGTTGTGAAAAGTTTCTGCTATATTTAAAATAAATTAGATCAAATTTACAGAAGGCTAATATTTGGATCAGGGTAGACTCGTTCGTAAATCATTGCTGACTACGTATTCACTGTGAGAATTTAAATTCTGTTGTGCACACAATTGATTAAAAATCTAAATTTGGGGGTATGTGGCGGTTGCTTTACGGCAATACACCGCACCAAAACAATTACTTACATTGCAAGTTGACATTCTTCGTGTACCAAAACGATTCGTGTGAAATAATTCGTGATGATTTCTAAAGACACAGTTGAAAGTCATAAACAATCCAGCTTAGTTGTGAACTGATAAGTAGTTATGATGGCCAGGCGATTTGCATCATCTTCTGTCTCCAATACGTGGGTTCTATTGTTCATTTTATTGCAAAATTTTTCAGGCAACCAAGCAAGTCACTAGTATGTCCTTGTGCCTTTTTCCCCTGCCTAGTGTTGCGATACTTTACATGGGAAAGCAATTTAAAGCCTTGCTTGATATCTCGTCATTAACACAATACTTTCTGAAGATTTGGGTTAATAAAACATTTTGTAAAAAACCTATGTCATTAAACTAACAAGTTATTTCTTTTGCATAACTGTTCATAGGAATTTCAGCCTAGAAAACAACACTTGTTTATGTTAGTGTCTAGTGTGTGGGTCCCCAAACAGGCTGACATTTCACAAAGAGTTTAAGTACTGCAAGGCCAAAATATAGACATAATTACATGTCAAACAAATGCATTTGTTTATTCTATTAAAACAGGGGTTAAAGTCACTAAATTTGTTTTAATTTATCCACTGAATTTGTCTAGTAGAAAACTGCATGTTCTAGAGACCCAACATTTTTCGAATTGTTACGTGGCTGCATTACCAGCAATGAGTTCTGGGTGTAAGAAAGCAGTTTGGTGATGCACACTGCCACTAGAATCGCCGACAGGGTCGACCGAAGGTGTACAACCAAGGATTGAGACCGCAAACTGTACTGTTTCCAAAGTACCTGAGCAGTGTGATTGATGAAGCAATTAGGGCCATAAAATATAACTTAAGGAAATGCGGATAGTTGTCCTGTGGGCCCCATCATGTGGTCTCAAACCACGCCGGGGTCAGTGAGTTGAAGCTGGCTCTGTTGCGCAACCCTGCTACCCGAGATAATAAGGAGGACCGGAGACATAACCATTTACTAGGGAGCTCAATCAAGTGTGTGTTGTGTGTGTCGTTTGTACTTGTGTGTTTATAGCTCAGATGTGTGAAACAGCGTGAGTAATAAATGGGCTAACACTGAGACCAAAGCGAATGCCATCACACGTACTGGTAATCAAGGATAAACACCTACGCTAATCCGGTGTGCTTTGAGGCTCCACTCGGCTGACGGCATGCTGTGAAAAAGGGCGCATTGTGAAGGTAAATGGAACTACCTGATTAATGAGCGAAGCGATGCGATTTACAACAGGTGCTACTTTAAAACTGCGCTAAAAATATTCCAAATGAAATTCTGCAGATAAGTAGCAAACTGCTAGGAAATAATTATTTTGTGTTTTCTATTGTGAAACTTGAGTTGGTCTGAAAATGGAATACGCGGCAAAAGGCGTAAGACAATTGGCCGTGGTTCCTTGGCCAGTCAATGCCAAAGACCCACTGCCTAACGAAAATTTCGCCGTTGCATTGTTTCTAGGCTGTTCTGCAATTTTTCGCCGGTAAACTGCTGCAGTTTAAACTCAAAAGACGAAAAAATAGATGAGTGAAAATAGAAAATGGGCGTAACTTAATGCCTACTAAACATGGTTAGTGCCCCCCACCCACAATTTTACCCTAATTTAATCGTTTTAAGTAATACTGTTCACTGCAAATCAAATTAGTTAGGTAATAAGATTAGAGAGTATCAAAGTTAATCTAGGTAATCTTGTTAGTAATTTTGTACATTTAGTTAATCATTACAGTAACTTTAAAGCACAAAAATACTTTGTTGGTTCCAAGATGAACGCAAAGTAACGTTGAGAAAAATACATCAGTTTCTGTGGATTAGAGAGGCTCCCAGTGTCTGTATACGTTAATTCTAGCAATGCCCATGTAACTTTTGCTTAGACACAACACACTCTGTTTACCAAAGACCTAATATTTTATTCACATTTATCTGTTTTAAGGGTATTTCAGCCGCCAAAATGTCCGTACTTTATTTCGCAACCACATTTTCATTCCCACCTATTACTCAGAAGCCAAAACTAAATCTTTGCCACGTTGCTCATGAGCATTCAAGGTTCCTATGACTTCATAATTATTTCACATGCTTTTTTTACTACCTTGAAGGTTAATAAAACTTTAATTTGATTTAGTAATTGGGTTATGGTTGAAAAACTTGTATATCGAAATGATGCAAATTGTAAAGTAAGTCATTAAGAATATATATTGCCTAAATTTTGGCATCAACAACAAAGCATTTTACCACTCTTCTGCACAAGGCTTTTCTTAATATGCCACATGTTTTAAAGGTATAGTCAACCCCCTAATTCTAACTTAAAAGCCGTTGAATCTGTTCACGTAGTTCTTGCCTCACCAGTAAGGACTCGAAAAAATTTTTTTACTCGAAGTTTCATTAATCAGGAGTGCAGCATGGATTAGAGACGCTGCTTCGGAGTATCATATGGAATTAACCTGACAATTAAGCTGCAACACTACAAAAACTTTCTGTAAAAGCACTTTAACATCTCTAACGGAGTGGTGACCCTCTACACTTAGTCCTCCACAAATTCGTGATTCACACCCAAGTGTGTCATAAAAATATTTGGACACGTAGCACTCGGAGTGTTATCTTCTCGTCAGGGAAGATCGTGTCTACCCATGAAGAGTCACTGGAGGCTGCTGATGCTGCTGCTTCATTTAGCCTATTTACAAGTCAATGGAATTTTGGGAAGTCTCACGCACTGTACACATTACTCACACTGGTGGAATTTTTTTCAGAAAAAATTGGAAACTTGTTTAATTACCGGTTTCACATCTCATGGAATTGCCAGGTTGTCAAGGCCCATAAAGGTGATGTAATACCTATGACCCTGCTACATTATTCCAGCACGTGTGTATCAATGTTGTGTATGGTAATGCATGGACTGCCAGTCATGGTCAAAACTTCGAACAGTAATAAACTGAGAAACATTAGCTGAACTACAATCCCATGTTACTGACTTGGAATGCTCATTCGTGATGCCTTTCATGTTTATTTCTAAGGCTTCTATTGGACCTCATCTCAACGAATTTTCGTGACTGGATTTGTAAATGCGACAATGTAGCAATTTTAAATATGTGTCATCCGAGTGTTCAGCAAAAAATAACATTAGAGTTAATATTAGACTCCTCTATGTGGGGAATTGAGATTGATTTGGTTATTTTACCACCAATTGCGACTGCATATTCTCTTTTTTCACCGGAACCCCACATTTCCTGGCCAGGAAATAAACGTTCCCAATATAGTGCCCACAAATTACAATGCTGTAGATTGAGTTTGTTTATGTGCCTTGTGAGAAAATTTGCCGTACTTGCAATTACTTAAAATAGGCACGATAAACTCCGCAAGGTATGTGTATGAGGCTTTAGTTTGAGGGGAGAATGTGCGATGCACTACAGTGGATGTAGGTAATGCGGACAGCATTAGGTTTCGTGGGGAATTTCAACAGATGTGAAATCGAAAAAGAAGGCAGCTACGCATAACTTTTGCTGAGTTCTTCAGTCCCCAGTAATTGATAAAAGAAAGCAAGACTGAACTCAAGAGACATGTGTGCTGTTGCCTTCTGCAAATTAGACACACCTGTAGAATACAGACGCATTTTAGTGTTATCACATTCGTAATTATAAATACACGTTTTCTATTTAGGACAATAAAAGAAATTGTATATCAAGGCTTTCATCACTGAGGAAATGAAATTAAGTATTTGAAAGCTCAGCATATGCAAAGACTTTGCCACACCACGGCATAATCTGGATGTCGGTGTTGGGACGTGAAAGAAAATTACCAGACTGGCATCCTAGCTCCAATGACTCACACACTACCTTAGCGACCCAAGTCATTGCGTAAAAGGATATCGAGGTAAGGCAGATGCAAAACGTCAGTTGTTTGGCACGGCGCAAGATGCCTCAGGTCAAAAAGCACTACCCACGCCAGTTTTAAGAAAGCACTTGAAACACCAAAAGCCATGATCAGAGAACCATGACTACCTTAATAACCACTCTAAATTCATTCCAAATAACTTAAAATTAGTCTCAAAATGCATTCGATGGCCAAAGAGAAGAGCAAGATGCACTGTCATTGTCCGTT